TGGGAATGGTCGAGGCTTTCTTGCCTAGAATCTGGAGGATGCCTGACAGCAGCTTTGCGATTTTGGACTGCCATTGCTACCCCTCGTGGGGCTGTCCTGACGGTGTCCGCAGCGCTGGCAGTCGTGCTCGGCCCACCTGTGGCATGTGTATGAGACCCGAGATGCCTGCTGCATGTGTGACTGTCTTGCATTTACAAAGTGCAGCTTCCAGAGCCTGGGCCCCCGAGGTGGCCAGCGGTCTTCTCGGCCCACTCCAAGTGAGTCTCTTGTCTTCATCCAGAGTCACATAGACAACAGCACCATCTCGGTCCATCCCGTGCACTCGATTCTATGTAGCTCTTAAGAGAGGGCCGGAGGGGAGGGCAACCTTGGCCTTGCCCCACTAGCTGGGAAAGAGCAATCCTGACCCAGAGTGGGCTGGGAGAAGTGAGTAGTGGAACCCTCGAGGGGCCGGAGCAGCCTTGGAAGCACCTAGAGGAGCTGGGGCTGAAGCTGGGCCTTGAGACAGGGCCTGAATTAGTGTGATCTTCTTGGGCTGGGCCCAGGGACACAGGGTGAATGCAGGGTGGGAGGGCTGTGTCCCAGGAGCTTTCCAGTGTCTCACACAGGCCTTGGTGGGGAGCGGAGAGTGGTGTCATTCTGCTGTCCGCAGTGCTGAAAGGTCCTGCCGTGCACAGTGACCCCATTCCTTCAGTAAATATTACTTCTGGCCCTTCCCACCTCCCTGCCAGCACCTTCTTGCCCTAACTTCCTGTCATTTTCTTTCCAGATATCCAATGACCATGTTGCGGCCCTTCCACCAGTCCCATTCACTCCCCATGCCCAGCCTGTCGCTGGCACCCACCCCCCATAACTCCCACCCAAAATGGTCCCTGTAGTCCCTGTCCCCCATGCCTTATCAGCTAGACTATCAGAGATAGAAATGCCAGTCTACAGAGCACTTGAAAGTGACATAGGGGTGTTTGGGGTTGCCATAATGGCTCCACTGGCATTTAGTGGATTGAAAAGTCCCACACAACAGATACCTGACCTACCTGACATGCCAATAAATAACATCCTCTAGATGATGTACATTTCTTCTACTGAGAGGAGAAACCGAGGCCAAGAGGGAAGGGACTTTGCTAAGGTCACTTAGCCAACCAGCCAGAGACAAAACCACAGCTAGCATATAAGCCCTCATCTTCTCCCAGCCTGGCTTCTGAACCACGCAGGTGACCGTCTGAACGAGGAACTCTTATCCAAAAGGGGTCGGCATCTGAAAGAGGGAAAGGCTGTTATAATGGGAGCTTTCGGCAGACCAGGGCCACTTTGCGGGAAGAGATCTGGCACGCTGCTGGCAATAGGGACCAGGATTCCCAGGCCGCAGAGCCCTGGAAGAGAGGATCTTGCTTGCATCACCCAGACCCTAATGCCCCTGGCAGGCCATGCCGCACACCATCAGCATTGATCTTCGGCAGGGGCGCTTGTGTTGCTGTGGTAACAGGCACCCACCTCGCTGCATCCATCCCTGCGATTCTTGTCTGGCCACCTGCCCTCAGACTTTCCGTGCTCATCCTCCCATAATTCCCAGGTGTAGGGGGCAGGGGACTCCTGCTTTAGTCTCTCCTGTCCAAAGCTGTGCTTGAGGGCACAGTGTCCTCATTAGCCGGCTCCCCTGGAGAACTGGGCACATTTGTCTTCCAGTCCTCTGGTACCTGGTGTCTGTAGCCAGAACCTCATCTCCAGGCACAACTGGGCCCCAAGAGGGCAGCCCCTTTCCACCAGCACATCCCACATCTCAGACCCTGCTTTCCAAGGTTTTGGCACATCGGAGTTTGTTTGATGCTGAAAAGGTATATTTGATGGCTGATTCCTAAGGGGGGTCCAGAGAGTCCCATATGGTCTCTGCCTACCTACCCCAGGGAGCTTGACTTCAGCAGCAAAGGGAAAAAAAAAAAAAAGAATCAGGTCCAAAAAGATGAAATCCGTAGTGAATTATGGCAAATCGTCTAAAATAGCTTTTTGGTTTTCAAACTATGGGTTATAGCACAATAGTGGATTATGAAGTCAATTTAGTGAGTCATGACCAGCATTTGTACATAAAATAAATAGAACTCATTAGAACAGAATAGGAAGAGAAGTATTATAGCTGTGGTCAAGGTAAATTTTGCTTTGTGAAACGGGACCCACCAATGCAGGGGGTGTGTGTGAGGCGGGGTGGAGGGGTGAGTACGGGATTTTGACATAAAATAGATACACTGCTGTGGTTCAAGCACAGTAGAATGTGAAGGCCTATGTTTCGAGAGATGGCAAGACCTAGAGAAGGCTTTTAGAGGGAAAAGAAGAAGTGACTCCTTACATGCCTAGGGTGTTGGGGAGGCCTTCAGGAGGAGATGGCATTTGAGCTGGGGTAGGCGTTTGTCAGTGAGCCATGGGTGAGAGCAGCAAAGAGTGTGTTCCAAGGGGTGGCTCAGCCCAGATCCGGCTGTGTGCCAGACCTGCAAGGGCAAGTGATAAGTGCCATGTGGAGAGGTGGCGGGAAGGGGGGTGGGTTCCAGAGAAAGAAAACCAGGAGACAGAATTCATAAAACCTGGTACCCCGGGGGAACATTGACGTGAGGGACCAGAATGGTCTCAGATTTGCAGCATCTCTATCCTGACTCCCTCCCACCCTCAAGCCCACCCTGTAGTCAGTGCCATCAAGAGCTGTCATACTCGGGAAAGTATTCTTGAGTTCCTGTCTTTGGTTAGCCCCACACTGATCAGCAAGACCAGACTCAGAACCTGAACAACTCAGGCCAGGTAATGAGCCAGGGATGAGGCGTGAGGCTCAGGCTATGAGGACTCTGGGGTGAGGTGGGGGGCGGGTGCGGGGGGG